TTATTTAGTTAGTTCTTATAATAATACTGCTAAAATGGAGATTGCCACTGCTTATAATTAGCCTTTGACCATGCCTAATCAATAAAGCAAAGTGGGTGAATTGCCCCTCTACATTGCGTACACCTTTCTGGTTACAGGTTGCCTTTAATTTCCCTTTCATGTTGCCTTGATGTTAATTTTTACCTGAACTCTGTCTGTATGGTATGGAGGTGTTTTAAATTCCAGCTGCCTAAGAACTACCCTGAAACATACAAACATTGTTTCTAACAGGCTTATTATTATTATTAGGTATGTTAGACATGGGCTTTGTATTAAATCAGCATATTTATATAGGTCTGAAGGTTTGGTCTGAGCAGTCCTTTCTCTGAGTAGACTTTTTTTTTTTTTGCGGTACGCGGGCCTCTCAATGTTGTGGCCTCTCCCGTTGTGGAGCACAGGCTCCGGACGCACAGGCTCAGCGGCCATGGCTCACGGGCCCAGCCACTCCGCGGCATGTGGGACCCTCCCGAACCGGGGCACAAACCCGCGTCCCCTGGATCGGCAGGGGGACTCTCAACCACTGCGCCACCAGGGAAGCCCTCTCTGAGTAGACTTTTGACTTCAAGTGTTTAAATTGCGCTGTGCTTAGTATCTTTACTGTGGCTTATTCTGTTCCTTCAAAACCTCATAAAATTCTAAGGTGGGGTACCATACTTCTTAGGACTGTGGTTCCCGGCCCTTTTTTTTTTTTTAGTGAGGAGCGCTTCTATAAGTATTAAATTTATGATGTGCTTCTATTTATTAGTAATATTTCTCACTGCATAAAGTGATTCTCCATGGGTCATTTGAGAATTACTACTCTAGAGGATCTATGAATTCTCTGACATTATATGTAAAATTTTGTGGGGAGTCCATTTGCATTATTTGAATATTAAAATACTGCCAAACCCATAAAAGTAAAAGTCCATTGCCTTGAAGTGACAAATTTTTTAATGACATGCATTTCTTGGCAAGTTTATTATTAATAATGGTGCTGTTTTACATTGTGTGTGTGTTTTACGTTTACATATTTTGTGGCATAAGTTGTATAGCTTTGGCTTACAGTTTTATTACACTCATTTGGTCCTCATAATAGCTTGTGAGGTAGTCAGATGATGCTCCATTTTCTCAGAGAGGAAACTGAGGCTAAGAGAGGTTGAAACGTAACTTAAGTCAGACAGATAGTAAATAGAAGAACAAAAAGTAGGATCCAAATTATCTCACTTCCAGTCATTTAATTTTCCTGGTATATTAACTTAGTTCTTCACAAATTTAGAACACTATTTCTAATTCACATAGTCTAATTCACATAGGAGAATCCAATGTGATGTGATCCCAAATATAAGGGAATTCCTCATTTACCTGATGAGAATATTAAGAAGAAAAGCTTTTCAGAATATAAAACTTTTAGGACTATAGCACAAATAGTTAAATATGTTCTTAAAGTATTTAATAATTTACTTATACATATTGTTAAAGTTACATAAATAAGATTTCTGAGAAATAATTCCTTTTTTCTGTTCTTATATTCATGAAAGTTTATCCAAGTTCTTCACAAGCATCATCATCACTAGGTCTTCTTTTTGAATTACCAGTTTTTTAGAACTTTTATACGTTGAGTTTTTTGATATTTGACACTTTTTGAATTCATATATTATGTTGATACTTTTGGAAATTTTAACCCATTTGTATAACATTATGACAGTTGATTTTAAAAGAAATATTTTTTGGGAATTCCCTGGTGGTCCAGTGGTTAGGACTCCATGCTTTCATTGTCGTGGGCCCAGGTTCAATCCCTGGTTGACGAACTAAGATCCCGCAAACCTTACTTTATTTGGATGTACATGTCATACAAAGCTTTAGTGAACCAATACAGAGACATACTTGCTTATCATTCATAAGCTAAAGCAGCAACTACCTTTTTCTTTTTTCTTTCTTTTTTTGCAGTGGTTGAACATGGTTTGGTTGAAACATGAACCTCATATGATAAAAATTAATGTGAGATCAAATTTCTTGAGTATATTTGGTTTTAGTCTTCAAACAAGTCTCTAAGTCTCTTGCCTGGTGACAATTTTAGGTCAGTTTCTTCTCTTTCGAGATTAAGGTATTATCATTATGTGTGTACCAAAAATTACAGGAGTCCTTGCCCTTATTTGAAGAAATTTTTCCTTATCTCACACTATTAATTTAAAGACATGGATGGTGGACAGTGTGGGGAATACAGTCTATATATAATATCTTTGTATGGTAGCAGATGGTAACTAGATTATCATGGTGATCATTTTGAAATGTATAGAAATATCAAATAACTATGTTGTATACCAGAACTAACATTGTGTTGTAGGTCAGTCATACTTTAAAAGTAAACAAACAAACAAACTCACAGAAAAGAGATCAGATTTGTGGTTACCAGAGGCAGGGGGTGGGGGGAGGGAGAACTTGGATGAAGGTAGTCAAAAAGTGCAAACTTCCAGTCATAAGATAAATAAGTACTAGGCATGCATTGAACAGTATGATAAATATAACTAATACTGCTGTATCTTATATATGAAAGTTGTTAAGAGAGTAACATCACAAGTTCTCATCAGAAGGAAAAAAAATTTTTTTTCTATTTCTTTTTGGCTGCACCGTGCGGCTTGCGGGATCTTAGTTCCCTGACCAGAGATCGAACCCAGGTCCTTGGCAGTGAAAGTATGGAGTCCTCTAACCACTGGACCGCCAGAGAGCTCCCTTTTTTCTATTTCTTTAATGTTGTATCTATATGAGATGATGGATGTTCACCAAACTTACGTGGTAATAATTTCATGATGTATGTAAGTCAAATCATTATGCTGTACATGTTAAACTTTTACAGTGCTGTATGTCAATTACATTTCAGTAAAACCAGAAGAAAAAAATGAAATTAAAGACATGGAATCACCGGGACTGCCCCGGCGGTCCAGTGGTTAAGACTTTGCCTTCCATTGCAGAAGGCGTGGGTTCAATCCCTGGTTGGGGAACTAAGATCCCATATGCCGTGGGGTGTGGCCAAAAACTTAAAAAAAAAAAAGACATGGAATCACCATGATGTACACTTAAAATATCTCACATTTTTATATGTTAATTTTACCTCAGTAAAGCTGAATTAAATAAAATTCTGTGGCCAACAACAACAAAATAGTAAAGTTAAAGACATGAGGTGGGAGATTTCCTTTGAAAAGAATGGGTCATAACCTTGTTGCATTTTTATTCTTTTTCTGGGATCCTTTACTCCGCTCAGTATATCTAATTGCCTCATGCCTAGGTGGTAGCAGAAACCTCCCAAGCAGCTGGTGATGGTGAAAAATACATTTAAGTACAAAACTGTTTATTTTTTTAAAAAAAACAAACTATTTATTTTAAAAATTATAAATATTTTGGGGAAAATGACTGTTTTGGGACTTTTAAGCTAGCTTATTTGCCACTCTTGCAGTAACTGTAATTTTATACAGTTTTATTACAGTTATAAAACTGTACTTTTATAACTGTAATTTTATACTCTATACCTCTCTGTATGTCTAAAGTATTTTATCTTTTTAAAAGGATATAACTTACAAAACAAGATTCTTCCTAAGAGTATTTATTTATGATGTAGAACTACTTTCTTTTTTTTAACTTTTTAATTCTATACAACGTAACTTTATGCTGGAATAATTAAGGTAAGTTTCAATATAGAGTTGATAGACTCAGGAACATAAAATTGTATAACTCCCTTAAATGAGCTTCTTTCTAAACTTGCAGTTGTTATTTGGGAAATAGAGCAGTTGATAGCATTATTCTTGAAATTTCACATGAGAAAATTTGCCTGATGTTCATTGAAAGCAAATCAATCAGTAAAAATACAAGTCTGTTTGGTAGAGGGAAATTATTTACTTTTTCAATATAAATTGTTTTTACCTAGCTGCTTGGAAGTAAGCGTGATGGTAATTATCTCCCAAATACCCTAATGACCTATCCTTGATGAATAAGGACATTGTGTTCTCCTATAATTATTATAAAACTGTTTTGCTGTTTTGGAACTATGAGAATATTTATTCAAATTGACTAACTTGTTTTTTCTTCAAGCTGCTCACCTGTAGAGGACAGGTTTCTGTAAAGCTGAGAAGCCTGACCAGTAGGATGTTGATATTTCAGAGGTTGTATCCTAGGATTGAGGCTTCCAAAATGTGTAAATAGTCTTTTTGTTTCCTGTCCTTGTGAACTTTTGGGTTCCTGTACTGAAGAGACTACTAACACTGTACTTAATATTCTTACTACTCTGCTAATGGCATTTGGTCTTCTCTTCTTTGATGCTTTATTCATTTTGTTTAATGAAATGCCAGACTCTGAAAAAAAGACTGTTAGTCTTGATCATTGCCCAGTGTCAAAACCTGTATGAAACATTGAGTCATTTAGTTTTTCATTTTACAGATTGTTTGCATGTCTGGAGGTAAGATAGTGTGGGATGGGAAGGTTAATCAAAGAGCAGAAGATAAATTTAGACTCACTAGATTGGTTCCATATTCTAGGTAAAAATGAAAGGAAAGGTCAGGGGCCTTGTATAAATCTTCAGTCTGCCTGATCAGACCTCTCTTTTGGCTGTGGAGATCTCTATTCTCCCTAGAAAAAGTTTAAGCTCTTCTTTATGGGTCTGCCAAAGCAGAGAGCAACCCAGTTTTGAGTCACAGGGGATCCATTCATAATGTATGTGTAGACCTAGAAAAAATTATTTCTTTACTAAGTTTTTCTCTAGGTATGTTATTGAGAAACAGGAGTAATAGTTTCATTTTCATCTACTTTAGCTTTGTTTTATGAATGACATACTATAATTAAAAGAGCAATGAAGTAGAGTTTGAAAGTCAGCATTCTAATAGTAGTCACATCACTAAATAACTGAGTGTACCATTCTGCAGAAGATGTGAGGATGCTGAGAAAACACATGTAAAGAAATAATTAATTAGTACTTATTTATATGTTCCCGGCAGGTGCTGTTGGCAGCAGCAGTCTGCACAAAAGCAGGAAAGGCTATTGTTTCTCGACAGTTTGTAGAGATGACCCGAACTCGGATTGAGGGCTTGTTAGCAGCTTTTCCAAAGCTCATGAACACTGGAAAACAACACACATTTGTTGAAACAGAGAGTGTCAGATATGTTTACCAGCCTATGGAGAAACTGTACATGGTACTGATCACTACCAAAAACAGCAACATCTTAGAAGATCTGGAGACCCTAAGGCTCTTCTCAAGAGTGGTAAGAGTCCTGTAATATTGGGTTACAGTTTTTGTTTTTAAATTTTTTGTGTAAAACTGTTTTTCCCCCAAAGCAGCTGATGCTTATCAGTTTGCATGTTCTATGCCCCCAGCCCTCATCCCAGCATCTTATTGCTACAGCTCCTATTCATTCAGCAGACACTTACTGGGTATCCTAGACTGTAAGTATTACAAAGGAGAATATGAGAACTGCCCTTTTGTTTCCCATTTCTCTAGCAGTTACTCTAACCTGCCTTTGTGGTTCTGACACTTATTTGGCCATATTTTTAGATAATATTCTTCAGGTAAGATTTGTTGATGTAGCCACACACATAAAAGACTTTATGCCACAGACTTGCTTAAAATACAGAGTAGCAGAAGGAGCTAATAAAGGGATTTAGGCTTATTGAAATTTGTGTATTTTAAAGGATGATAACTGGAAAACAAAACTGCTGATAAATTCTAAATCTTTCTTTTCCATTGCTCTCCATGATTAGATTCCTGAATATTGCCGAGCCTTAGAAGAGAATGAAATATCTGAGCACTGTTTTGATTTGATTTTTGCATTTGATGAAATTGTTGCCCTGGGATACCGGGAGAATGTTAACCTGGCACAGATCAGAACCTTCACAGAAATGGATTCTCATGAGGAGAAGGTGTTCAGAGCAGTCAGAGAGGTAAATAGGGTCTTCTCTGGGACAGCTGGTTTGTATATCTTTCTTTTAGGCTTCATTATCTGATTTTCCCTTTTTTATTTGCTAGTCTAGTCTGTACTCAAAGCTACATCCAAGTATATATCTTCTTGTAGACTCAAGAACGTGAAGCCAAGGCTGAGATGCGGCGTAAAGCAAAAGAATTACAGCAGGCCCGAAGAGATGCAGAGAGACAGGGCAAAAAAGCACCAGGATTTGGGGGATTTGGAAGCTCCACAGTGTCTGGAGGTAGCACAGCTGCTATGATCACAGAGACCATCATTGAAACTGATAAACCAAAAGTGGCACCTGCACCAGCCAGGTATAATCCAGTGTATCACCCAGAATGCAGTCTTAGAATGGCAGATGAAGGCTGTATGTATGTATCTCAGAGTGATATCTGATTTTTAGGCAAACTGTAAATAACAAGTGGCTTGATGAAGTAAGATGTAATATTAAATTTGGCTGCATAATATGGGGATAAAGGAGAAATCTGAATGTGGTGTTTTTCCTTTTGTATAAAAGAGAGTTCTTTTACAAATTATAACATGATCTCAATTTCCTATGAGAGTTGTGTTATTTTGGGAGAAGAGGGGATATTTAACTGTTTAAGGAACATGTATTTTTAATCTAGTGTTCATGAATGGATTTAAGGGAGAATCTGAACTACCTGAAATTATGTGAAAAAGTTCGTTTGTACACAGGTATATTTATCTGGATAGAAGGTACAAAGTTTTCATCAGATCACACATGCTTATGAAAGTATACCTGTGGTCTTTAGGTACTTGAAGCTTATATGGGTTTTTTTGTTTTGTTTCTGGCTGTGCCCCTGTGGCATACATGATCTTAGTCCCTGACCAGGGATGAACCTATGGCCCCTGCAGTGGAAGCACAGAGTCCTAACTACTGGACCACCAGGGAATTCCTGAAGCTTATATGTTAATTGTGACCCAGCTGTCAGTTCGATCAGGGAATAGTCTAGTTGTCCACTAAACACGAGGAAGCTTGTGTTTTTTCCTTGAGGTATTCACATTCCCCTTAAAGAACAGCTTCAAGGAGAGCTTCAGTGATAGAGAATTATTAGTTTTTAACTTTTTAAATCATGTGTGTATTTTTGTGTGTATGTGTGTGTTCTTCCACTTAGGCCTTCAGGCCCTAGCAAGGCTTTGAAACTGGGAGCCAAAGGAAAGGAAGTAGATAACTTTGTTGACAAATTGAAATCTGAAGGTGAAACTATCATGTCCTCCAGCATGGGCAAGCGTACCTCTGAAGCAACCAAAGTGCATGCTCCACCCATTAATATGGAGAGGTAAGTAGTAACTCTTTCAGTAAGAACAGACCACGTAGTGTTAAAAAAAATTATCTCAATGCACTGTAAATTCTTTGTGTGTCTTAATTTTTCCAGATTTAAAACACTTCCTACTGTATAGCACAGGGACGTATATTCAATATCCTGTGATAAACCATAATGGAAAAGAATATGAAAAAGAATATATATATGTATAACTGAGTCACTTTGCTGTACAGCAGTTAAGCACAACATTGTTAAATCAGCTATACTTAAATAAAATTTTTTTTAAAAAGTACATTCTAGGTATTAACATGAGGTCTTCCCCCCTCCCCGCTTTAAACATGATTGGGGGCTCTCAGCTGTTTTCTATTTAAGTTTAGAACTTACCTTTCTATCAACTCTGTGGTGGCTAAATTAAACAAAAATAACTTTGCTTTGTGCCTAGTGTGTACTTTGTCTCTTAAAATGGAGTGGAATTAGAGGGCTAGAGCCATGATTAGCACTATACTATATTTTGGCATGTCTTTTTCTAATTAATTTTTTTTTAATTTTAATTTTTTTTAAGAGGTTACTTTTTTTTTTAATTAATTTATTTATTTTTGCTGTGTTGCATCTTCGTTTCTGTGCGAGGGCTTTCTCTAGTTGTGGCAAGCGGGGGCCACTCTTCATCGCAGTGTGCGGGCCTCTGACTATTCGCGGCCTCTCTTGTTGCAGAGCACAGGCTCCAGACGCGCAGGCTCAGCAGTTGTGGCTCACGGGCCCAGTTGCTCCACGGCATGTGGGATCCTCCCAGAACAGGGCTCGAACCCATGTCCCCTGCATTAGCAGGCAGATTCTCAACCACTGTGCCACCAGGGAAACCCTTAATTTTAATTAATTTATTTTTGGTTGCATTGGGTCTTCATTGCTGCACGTGGACTTCCTCTAGTTGCGTCGAGCGGGGGCTACTCTTCGTTTGTGTGCACGGGCTTCTCATTGCGGTGGCTTCTCTTGTTGTGGAGCGTGAGCTCTAGGCGCCTGGGCTTCAGTATTTGTGGCACACGGGCTCAGTAGTTGTGGCTCGCAGACTCTAGATCGCAGGCTCATTAGTTGTGGCACATAGGCTTAGTTGCTCCATGGCATGTGGGATCTTCCCAGACTAGGGCTTGAACCCGTGTCCCCTGCATTGGCAGGTGGATTCTCAACCACTGCGCCACCAGGGAAGTCCTTCTAATTAAGTTTTAAGGAGGACAAAATTTATAAATATCTTTATTGGCAAATAATGTATTATCTTTTGCCTTTTAAGTATTTGAACCCAGTATAGAATATTTTGATTTGTCTCTTATCTCAGGACTGTGGTACTGTTTGGTAACATTTTTAAGTGGTAGTTATCAAGTTCACATATTCATGACTCAGATTTCTTGTTTTGAAGCCCAGACCTTCTACTGTTACTGATGGTTTTGAGGTCAAGTGAAAGATGAGTCTGGGAGGATACCTCTGTCAGGTGTGCATAAAAGAGGAGTATGTTGTATGTCTTATTCTGTATGAAATGAACAGGGTTACGTCGGGATAAATCTCTTAAATCACTAAAGCTCCTGTGCCATTCCTAGTAGTTGCTTTGAGGGAGACAGAGGCTTGACACTATTTTAATAAGATGTTGGAGACTGTCATGTACTAGAGAGGACTTGAGACTCCTTTCTGAATGATGAAATACTTCTTGAGCATGGAGCAAACGCTTGTGAAGGTAAATGAGACCCTGCATTGTCTTAAGATACATTCCTCTGTGGTCTTGAGTCTCATGCCTTTGTTTCTGGGAAGTCTTAGAGGTTAGAACAGAACAAAGTACGATGCCAGAATAGTCTTTTTAAGCCTCTGCAGTTCACCCAGCTAAAAATAGTTTTAGTACGGAATATGGATAGATTGTACTTAATAATTGCCCATAGCAGTAGCACCTTTTATTTTACTTATTTTGAAAACTAGATTATACATTCATGTAGTTCAAAATTCAAAAGGTTCAAAGGGTATTGAACTAAAATTTCTTCCTCCCGCCCAGCCATGCAGGTTTCTCTTTTTGGAGGCAACTAGTATTAACTAGTTTTGTTTTGTTTTTTGTTTTAAATTTTTAAAATTAAAAATTTTTTGGCCACGCCTCATGGCATGTAGGATCTTAGTTCCCCAACCAGGGATTGAACTCGTACACCTGTGGTGGAAGTGCGGAGTCTTAACCACTTGGATGCCGGGGAAATCTCAGTATTAACTAGTTTTTGTGTGAATCTTCCAAGAGGGATAGTCTATGTATAGATGAATAAAAACATGGTATGATTTCTGTATTTCTCCTTTTTATACATTAGTGGTGGCATACTAGACACATTTCCAATTGCTTTTTTCACTTATTTCGAAGATAAGAATTTCCTTATTTGAAGCTATAGAGACATGACATCCAAATGCAGTACCTTACCCTAGACTGGATCTTGTACTACTATAAGGGGCATTATTAGATCAACTGACAAAATTGGCATATGAATGGTAGATTAAAGTATTGTGTCAATGTAAATTTACAAAGTTGATAACAGTACTGTGGTTATGTGAAAGAATATCCTGTTCTTACAAAATACACTCTGAAAATGTTTAGGGGTAAAGGGCCATGATGTATATATTCTGCCTGTAAATGGTTCAAGGAAAAAAGTAAAATATATTTATATAGAGAGAGTGTGCAAATGATAAATGGGATAAAATGTTAACAATAGATAAAAAGGGTATAAATGTATTTCTGTTATAATTTTAATTTTTGAAATTTTTTTCAAATAAAAACCTTTTTCAATTGTTCCTCTTTTTTTTTTTCTAATTGCCCAGTATTCATTTTTGTGGATATACTTTTATGTATTTAAGTAGTCCCCCTATTGACGGACATTTGTTTCTAAACTTTTGCTATTACAAACAATTCTTCAGTGAATAACTTACTACATTGTTTTGCACAGGTGAGAATTTATCTGTAGGGTGAGGATTTGTTGAACCAAAGGGTGTAATGCCTTTTATTTTATTTTATTTTATTTTATTTTTTAGGGATAAAGGTGGTTTTCCTTTTTTTAATTGAAGTATAGTTGATTTATAATGTTATGCTAATTTCTGCTATACAGCAAAGTGACTCAGTTATGCATACATATATATAATATATACACATTCTTTCTAATTTTTGTTTATTTTAAATTTTATTTGTTTATTTTTGGCTGCATTGGGTCTTCATTGCTGCGCGTGGGCTTTCTCTGCGGCGAGCGGGGGCTACTCTTCGTTGCAGTGTGCGGGCTTCTCATTCAGCGGCTTCTCTTGTTGCAGAGCACGGCTCTAGGCACATGGGCTTCAGTAGTTGTGGCATGCAGACTCAGTAGTTGTGGCTTGTGGGCTCTAGAGTGCGGGCTCAGTAGTTGTGGTGCACGGGCTTAGTTGCTCTGCGGCATGTGGGATCTTCCCGGACCAGGGCTCGAATACATATCCCCTGCATTGGCAGGTGGATTCTTAACCACTGCGCCACCAGGGAAGTCCCCACATTATTTTTTAATATTCTTTTCCATTATGGTTTATCCCAGGAGATTGGATATAGTTTCTTGTGCTATATAGTAGGACCTTGTTGTTTATCCATTCTAAATGTGATAGTTTATATAACACTTTAAATTTTGATACATATGGCTGCAGCACCTTTAAATAAGTTGCTTATGGCTAATCACCATTAAACGCCAGAGAAAGAGAGTTCTGGTTTTTACCTGTCTGAGCAGATTTATCATTCTTTCTCTACAGTGTGCACATGAAGATTGAGGAAAAGATAACACTAACCTGTGGACGAGATGGAGGATTACAGAATATGGAGTTGCATGGCATGATCATGCTTAGGATCTCAGATGATAAATTTGGCCGAATTCGTCTTCATGTGGAAAATGAAGACAAGAAAGGGGTGCAGCTACAGGTGTGTAGAGGCTTTTGATAAGGGAGTATTAAGGCTTTTGTCTACCTAACACAGTCTTTCTCAACTGGAATTCCCTGTATGAACCACAGAACACAGAAGATTATTTAACTTATATAACTAGTGCCCTTCTAGATGCATAGGAGAGAAGTTAATTTATTACCTATAGTGGAAGCCTTGAATTGATAAATGCCTTCCCAAACCAGTTGGGAATGACTGACAGCAGCTGTATTAGTATGGCCTTTTAATACTGGAATTGAGTGAAATGTCATTTTGAAATCTAATAAATGACTTCATACTCACAAAGGTACAAAGAGATGCATATTTGTTACTGTTATGCAAAGAGTAAATTCATTTAGGATATTGCTTGAAATATAATTAAAAAAACAAAGTTTTAAAACTTAATAGGGTGGTATTTTATTTTATTTTTGGCTGCGTTGAGTCTTTGTTGCTGCACACAGGCTTTCTCTAGTTGCAGTGAGTGGGGCTATTCTTTGTTGCGGTGCATGGGGTTCTCATTGAGGTGGCTTCTCTTGTTGCAGAGCACGGGCTCTAGGTGCCTAAACTTCAGTAGTTGTGGCATGCGGGCTCAGTAGTTGTGGCTCACGGGCTCTAGGGCATAGGCTCAGTAGTTGTGGCGAACAGGCTTAGTTGCTCCACGGCATGTGGGATCTTCCCGGACCGGGGCTCGAACCCGTGTTCCCTGCACTGGCAGGCGGATTCCTACCCTCTGAGCCACCAGGGAGGTCCCGGCAGGCGGATTCTTAACCACTGCGCCACCAGGGAAGCCCGGGGGGTATTTTATTAAAGCAGGTTATGACACTAAGTTTACTCATTTTGCTCCTATATAAACTGCCAATGCTTGTTTTGTTAGCTGAAGGGCAGTATCTAATGGTATATTTGAAAAGTACATAAAATTCTTAAAAATGAATATGTATGTTCCACCTACCTGGCTATGTAAGAGACCACCTTTATATTATTACAGTTGTTCTTGTTACAGTTTATTCAGATGGTTGATCTTACATCTCTCGTCACGAGAACAAAGCCTTTTCAGTGAAGAAACTGGTTTTGTCTACGTTTTATTCCACTCATGACCAGCACACAGTTGTCTTTTGGAAGTAGTGCTTATATTATTTGCCAGTAGCTTTGCTGACTCATAAAGTCTATGTAGTCTGCTATCCAAAAGTTACTTCTTTTTCCTTTTTTCTCCTAATGTGACTTCTTTTAAAATGATCAGTTCATCTTAGTTGGCCTGAGTTTGAACAACTTTTAGGCAAAATTGCAACTAAACTTTCCACAGAGCTTTTCCCTCTCCTGTCTCCTTAGTATAAGGCCAGGACTGCTATGTGACCCAGCCAGCTGATCAACGTCTGACCCTAGTCTTCTATTTGGCAAGCTTGGCCTCACCATCAGGCTGCTCCCTATGAAGTATTTTTGTAAAGGACTTGGTTAATGGTCTTTTCACTTTTTCAGTTACAAAGTTACTAACTTGTTACTTACAAACAAAATGGCTTAGAGTTGAAATTACTTTATTACTATTTTTTAAATGTCTTAAATCTTTAAAAGTCTTTGAAGAAGGGAAATATTTCTTCAAAATCAAAAATAATTGGAATTTTTTAGGCACCCTGTTTTAGATGTTTAGATTATGGGCCATGTAAGACCAAAAGGAATTTATTTCCTGTCTTATAATGTCTGAACCTCAGAAGTTTTCTTTCCCTTCTCATTTCAGACCCATCCAAATGTGGATAAAAAACTTTTCACTGCAGAATCTCTAATTGGCTTGAAGAATCCAGAGAAGTCATTTCCAGTCAGTAGTGACGTTGGGGTGCTAAAGTGGAGACTACAAACCACAGAGGAGTCTTTTATTCCACTGACAAGTAAGTGCCTCTGGCCAGTCCTACTAAGCTGGACTGCACTGAGAACTAGAAATAGCCCTGGCTTGTACCTTCTTCATTGCCACAGTTCTTTTTCACAAAATGACCTTTCAAAATGGACTCAGTGCTATATTTAGTGTATTTTGGTAATAAGTAGCTTAAATTTTAAACACTTTTAATTTTGAAACCATTATTTTTAGTAGTTTACACTAGGATGTTTAAGGCCTGCACTTGTCAGTTTTGATTTGCCATCTTAACTTTCCTCCATTCTTTTTCTAATGTTCTAATATACCTGCTTTGCTTTTCTCTTCAGTTAATTGCTGGCCCTCAGAAAGTGGAAATGGTTGTGATGTCAACATAGAATATGAGCTACAAGAAGATAATTTAGAACTGAATGATGTGGTTATCACCATCCCACTCCCGTAAGTACCCCACATAATCATTTTTTCTATAGCGAGCTTATATAACTAGTCTTTTGGAACTCCTTTTGGAGGCAGCACTTAGCTGGCTATCCATTCTAAGATACTTGTTTCTCATAAAGGTCAATTGTGAAAGAAACCAGGTACAAAAGGCTGCATACTTACTATATGATGCCACTTATAAGACATTCTGAAAAGGTATTACTCTTGGAACAGAAATCAAGCATTTGATTGCAAAGAGAAGAAGCATTTGATTGCAGAGGAGCACAAAGGAACTTTTGGAGATGATGGAAATGTTCTATGACTTGATTGTAATGGTGCTTACAGGATACATTTGTCAATGCATTGAGCTGTACACTTTTAAAGGAGTGGATATTACTGATGTTAAAGCCAAACAAGCAAAGCTGGTTATAGTTCTAGGGCTGTGTTTTCAGATATTGGTCTTCAGATTGTTCATGTAGTAATGAAAGTTTCCAGAAGGAGGAGCCAATTCTCAGTCAGACTTTCTCTGCTTTGTTTTGCAACTCTTGAAGGAATCGAGTCTGACAGACTGAATTTTTCTTTTTCACTTTCTTCTCTAAATTTTCAGCTAAAGATGAGATTATGTTTTCAAGGGTACTATTCTTGCTGAAACAAGATATCTACATTAGTTTCAGTCAATTTTCTAACAGCTTTATTGAGGTGTAGTTGACGTGATAAACTACACGTATTTAAATTATAAAGTTTGATAAGTTTTGGCATGTATGCACCATCATCACAATTAAGATAACAAAAATATGCATCCCCCCAGAAGTTTACTTCCGGTAAGTTTTTGATGTGTGCTTAAATGGCCTACTTTCTAGGATCATCTGGAAATACTGTCTACTTTATCTCCTCACTAGCATTTCTAGTGACTGAACTATTATTACTTCACCATTGAATCCCTGCTTCTCTGCTCTGCCTTTCAGCACCCCCATGATTAAGTACAGGGCTTAATTATGCATACCCAGTAAGTGAGTTCTTAGTGTGTCTATACTATTAAATTGCTTGGTTATTATTACAGAGAAAATGGTTCTAATTTAATCTGTAGTTGTGTTCAAATTAATTTTAATTTAATTTGAATTAAAATTAAATCTAATTTATTTGTAGTTTGATTCAGGCCTTTACATGGCCAGGTCTGGTTTTAGTCATTCTTATTTCCATTTTTTAAAATATGCTTTATTACCAATATCCCCTTTAATGGGCTAATCATCTTATTCTTCACAGCTTGGTTATTATTTCAGAACAATAGATGGCTGCCTTGAACCATTGTGAGACTTGGGCGTTGGTGACAGGTGTGGGTTTTATTTTGTCAAGATTTATTTTACTAGACTATTTTTAGGATGCCACAAGTTTTAGGCCTCTCCATCTACCCTATAATTGTGGTTATGGTGGTTTCCTGTGTCTTAGTTCAACTTTGCAATAGTCTCCAGAAGAGACCCTTAGACAGCATTTTACCCTATTGTCTAGAACTGATCAAATTAGAGGATCTCAGAATCAGAATTGGAACAAGGGCAAAGGGAAGAAACATATATACAACTGGGACCATAAAATTGATAGGGAAGAGTTAATTGTGTTATATCACCCTTAAAGATTTCTTTGTCTCCCTTATTTACCCTGCCTTTAATGCAAACATTGGATGTCACTGGTGAATTAAAAGATGGTAAATTTAGAGTGTGTAGGAGTAGCTGGCACTGCCTGTCAGCCGTGTGCGGGGATGCACAGTGCGTCCTGACTAGCCCTGGTTCTCTTGCAGACTAAGGACAACTATGTAATATCTCTCTTTCCCATCAGGTTCACATTTTGCCCAGGGGTAATTGTGCTTTCACTTATCAAATAAAAGTTCAGTTACTGGATTATAAATCAAATAAACACACTGGCATCAACTACAATAAGTTTTAAATCCTTCTAAAATCTTTTTTTTTCTGCAGTACGTGGGCCTCTCACTGTTGTGGCCTCTCCCGTTGCGGAGCACAGGCTCCAGACGCGAAGGCTTAGCGGCCATGGCTCACGGGCCCAGCTGCTCCGCGGCATGTGGGATCTTCCCGGACCGGAGCACGAACCCATGTCCCCTGCGTCGGCAGGTGGACTCCCAACCACTGCGCCACCAGGGAAGCCCCTAAAATCTTTTAAAAACATCCTCTCAAAGGTCCAAATTCATCTCCATTCTAAATAACCACATAATGATGTTTTAAGTTCTCCCCCACTGTTATTATCAACCTGTTTTTCCCCTCATTGGCACCTGTGAAGAGAGCTACACTATGTTAAAATTCCATCATGACAAGGCAGCAAACCATTAGTGCAGTATTTTTGGAAATACATCCCACTTTACACATTTGTCAGTCTCAGTCCCCTGCCAGCTCCAGATCTAGTCCATAAGTTGGAGCAGCCCAGGACTATGTTTGCCCATTACTTAATGGTTGCATATATCTGTACCTACAAAAGGAATGAATGAGACCCTTGGCCAAGGTTAAGGGTCCTTGAAGTTATCAGGGAGTCTAATTTTTTCTAGGACTATATAAAAGTGGGCAGAATTTGAGGAGCATAATCAAATTTCAGGCTGGTTTTCCTTGGCATAGTTCTTCTAGCTCTGGACAGCTAACTTGACACGGATGTTTCTTGTGACAGATCTGGTGTCGGCGCACCGGTGATTGGTGAGATTGATGGTGAATATCGACATGACAGTCGACGAAATACCTTGGAGTGGTGCCTGCCAGTGATTGATGCCAAAAATAAGAGTGGCAGCCTTGAGTTCAGCATTGCTGGGCAGCCCAATGATTTCTTCCCTGTTCAAGTCTCCTTCATCTCCAAAAAAAATTACTGTAACATACAGGTACCCCTGTTTAATAGAGAACTTATATGGGGAAAGTGGTAGGACGGATACCTGATAGGCAACATGACTTCATGGTCAGAGCAGAAATCAGAAAAGCTGATGTCCCCGTGGATTCCATTGCTGCCTCATTGTGTAATCTTGGTCAGTTCTTCACCTGCTTTGTCTCAGTTTTCCTCTCTAGATCAAAGTAAAGAAATTGAATATGACTACATATAAAAGTACTTATGGGTTGTGCAAGACTCATATCTCTTAGTTGCCTGTTTTTTTTTAAATAATCTCATGTATCTTAAAATCCATTTGCCAAAATACTCAACACATGACTTAGTAATGCCTTCTGTATTGTCACTTGGTTTGATCCCAAGGAATGAAAGAAAGTTTATTTGGAAGACAAAATTACTGCCAAAAAAGGTGATTCTAATACAAATAGATAGTTTTTGTGTTCTTTTATGTCACAGCTTCCCTTCATTAATACAGATAATCGTAAGCCAATTCTGTTGTAAACCTTGTCCTTAAGGTAGGCAGGCAAAGCAGGGGAAATCTGTGAACTGTTTGTTTATTTATTTATTTATTTATTCATACATTCATTCATTCATTCCGTGCCATGCACCTTGTGGGATCTTAGTTTCCTGACCAGGGATTGAACCCAGGCCCATGGCAGTGAAAGCGCTGAGTGCTAACTACTGGACTGCCAGGGATTTCCCTGTGAACTGTCCTTCAGATCATTATTTTTAACTCTTTGTTCTTCCAGCTTTCAAGTTGCATTATAAGCACCGAGTTTATATTGTTATCTTCCCCTCCGACTTGTTGCTTTGCTTGTCATTCTGATTTTCTTCCCAGATGGTCTCTGTCTCTCCTGAAAGTGCTTGGGAAGTTATAGTTGTATCTGCTGGATGATTCCAAAGAGCAGTCCTCCCTCCCTCCCTCCCTCCCTTCCTCCCTCCCTCTCTCCCTCTCTCCCTCTCTCCCTCTCTCCCTCTCTCTCTTTCTCTCTCTCTCTCCC